ACGAGGCTGTTTTGGCCACACTGGACTCAGACACAAGGCAGGTGAACTTTGAAAAATCCTTTTAAACATGATTTAAAAGTTAAACAAGAGAAGATTTATTTCTGAAACGACTATGGACTCAAAACTGTGTTTGTATGAGTTAAAAAAATTGGAATCGGTAAGAATTGTCAATGTTTTTGAAAGAAGTCTCTTATGCTCACAAAGGCTGCATTTATTTGATAAAAAATATAGTAATAATGTAAAATATTATTACTGTTTAAAATAAATGGTTTCTGTTTTAAAAAATATTTCATCTTAAAATATTTAAATATATATATTTTTAATATTATAATATTAAAAATATTTTATTTATAATTTGGACCTGTAATGATAGAGCTAAGATTCAGCAGTCTTTAGTGTCACATGATCCTTCAGAAATCATTCTAATTTGCTGATTTGCTGCTCAAGAAACATTTTTCTTCTTATCAATGTTGAAAACAGTTGTGCAGCTACATATACATTATATATACATTAATATACAACAGCATTTATTTAAAATAGAAAGTTTTGAAACTATATAAAACTATATAAATGTCTTTACTGTCACAAATAAAATATTTTTAATATTATAATATTAAAAATATTTTATTTATAATTTGGACCTGTAATGATAGAGCTAAGATTCAGCAGTCTTTAGTGTCACATGATCCTTCAGAAATCATTCTAATTTGCTGATTTGCTGCTCAAGAAACATTTTTCTTCTTATCAATGTTGAAAACAGTTGTGCAGCTACATATACATTATATATACATTCATATACAACAGCATTTATTTAAAATAGAAAGTTTTGAAACTATATAAAACTATATAAATATCTTTACTGTCACTTTTGATCGATTGAATGCATCCTTGCAAAATAAACACATTCATTTCTTTCATGTGGTTCTGTTGCTGATTTAGAAGAGTGGCAGAGCTCTTCATGTTTGATTTTGAGATCAGTGGAATACATCTGGATGAATCCAAGGTGAGAACAATCCTTAAAACCCAAAATACAAGCACTTTTTAATGTGATCATACTGATTTTATATATATCTCTTTATGAATCATCTCAGAGGAGCAAGGCTGTTGCTCTGAATGTGAAGCTGCTGGATCTTTACCATGAGTTTCTGAGCGGCTCTCAGCTCCCAAACGCCATAGATAAGCAAGTTCTACCAGAACACATCCGCCACTGCTTTTCCATAGACGGGAACCGCATTCAGATCGGCGGGTTGCATGCTGACTCTGCTAATGAGCTGGTGCGTGTGATCGTATTATTCTGTTTACGTAGTTACCATCTCCCTGTTTGTTGCTTGAGCTTAAAGGTGCTCATAAATCCATCATGTCCCTGTGGTGTGACATGCTATTGGCTGTTTATGCAAGCTAGATGGCAAGGTTCGCTTTCATTTGCATGTTCCGTAAGTGTCTTTTTTTCTTCCCTCTGGTAGGTGCGGGAAGCTGCGTATAAAATCTTTCTGTACCCCAACGCTAGTCTCTTGCTTTGTCTGGATGAGCTTTTGGCTTGTAGACACAAGCTGGCAACATTAGTGGGCTATGAGTCGTTTGCACACAGGGCTTTGAAAGGAACGATGGCTAAAAGACCAGGTAAAAATAATCAGAGTATCACTTGCTGGCTACAGTCCTCTTTTAGCTGCAAATGGAGTTGAAACAAACAAATTTGTTTGCTTTACAGAGACTGTGATGAAGTTTACGTTTCGCACTAACTGCTGTTTTTGAATGGGAATCTTTGATGTGTGTTGTAAAGTTTACTCTGTTTGTTTGTCATAATACAGAACATCAAGAGAATTCAAGATGATGAAAGAAATGAAGAAGAAAACACACTCGACAAATCCTGTAAGTGTTTATTTTGTGCAGTGGATTTGTTTTGTGAATGCTGCTTTCTTTTTTTTTCCGTTTGCATCACAAATGCAGACAGATTTCCTAAATATTGTTTTTCGCATGTCAGGAAGTGATGGCATGGGATCATGCATACCTCAGTTGTGCCATATGAACGGAAAAGTGAGGCGTTTACATGTACAGGTGCATCTCAATAAATTAGAATGTCGTGGAAAAGTTCATTTATTTCAGTAATTCAACTCAAATTGTGAAACTCGTGTATTAAATAAATTCAATGCACACAGACTGAAGTAGTTTAAGTCTTTG